AGATGACGAGGCATTTGGCTACCTTAAGAGAGTCATAGTCATTTATAGATATTTTTTCAGTATAAAATTTTCATTTTTATGGGCAATCTTTATTCAGTGCTTGTTGCTTAATTTTTTCCGGGCACTGTTTACCATCTCCTTTCTGTAGTCTGGGAAATGCCAACTGTTCCTATAATAAAGCAGAATAGTAAGCCTATTTCCAGGGCTTCACTTCACATTTAGGGTGTAGACAGATATAACACTTAAAATGTTCTAAATAAAAGTTTAAACCCCAAGGACCTCGACATAAGTGCCAGTTAAGATCAGCGTAAGCTTCCTGGAATGCTTCAAAACTACCCCAGAAAAATCAAGTACTATTTTGAACCAGTCCTCCCCAGCAGTTCTCATCATGGGGTCCAGGCCGCCCCTACCCCGACCCCCTTACCCTGTACATCTGTCCATCCAGTCACGTAGCACCAGATAAATGTTGTAAAGTTCTTTAGTAAACATAATCAGTCATTTTTAATTATTTTTTCTTGATAAGGGAGAGAATAAATTGCATTTGGGGATTATGACCTCTTCCCCTTTCTTGGCAGCCAGCCAAATTGAGTCTTTCTGCCCCTCTAGCCAAATCCTGGGGAAACTCCAGGATTGGGAAGGCTTGATGGTCTGGATACTCTGCGACCCACTGGTGGCATTTTGGCAGCAGTGTCATCCTTAGAAGGTGACTTTTCTACTTGGAACCCTTAGCAGTGTATATGCAAATATTTCTGTCCTGGGACAAATGAGAACCAAGTCCCAATCAGTAATATCCTTGGAGCAGGTTAAGTTTGAAATCTGTCCATGACCTTAGAAAAACTTCTTTAATCCACCTCTTTTTGTTCTTTCCTACTTATTTATTCCTGTTATTTCACAGCTCCTCTCGCAATACAGCCCCCAACTTGGCAAAAAAGAGCTGTTGAAAATATTTTTCTCTTTAATTGTTACAGCTAAACAATCAGCCCTTCCCACCATAAAGACTTCAGGAAGAATGCAGAAGATAGAGATGCTATTATCTTGAAATGGAGGATGACATACAATATTTTACTCTGTAAGGAGCCCTAAAACAGCCAAGAACCATAAAAGGTGCTGCCAAAACAAACTCATTTCTTTGAGATTTACAGATTTTAAAAC